AGGGGCCCTGGGGAAGAAACACTGTGGCGCATGCGTAGAAGCAAGGGAGCCGAGCTTGTTCTCGACCAGGTGATGGGCTCCGCCTCTAGAAACGATGACGTCATGAGCGCTTAACGTCAGACACCAAATCCCGGACGCGACGAGTCCTGGGTTTTATTACAAAGGAGATGACGGCCTAAGTCAAACGTCACCATGGCAACAGCGTCGTTCGCGTACCGTACTGGTCACAATTCGAATCCGGGCGTTGGCCAAGAACTGTACCGTTCCCTGCTTAAAACTCCTTTAATATTAATAATATTAATACGCTTAATATTTTATCTGAGATATAATTTTTTACGGTATCTGATTCTGTAATTTCCATAAAATCATTTTCAATTAAATTGAACTTAACGAAAGGTGATAATGGAGATTATGGTAATTATTTTTTTTCTTATAAATCAAAAATCATTATAAAGGGAACAATTTCACATACTTTAAAACTCCTCGTCTCTTTAAATCGAGAACATATCTACTATTTAATGAAATAGAGAATATTTCAAGTGTAAAAGTCTGAAAATTCCAGCAACATTCTTCTGTTGATATTGTATCTTATTCGGTGACTATTATTTTCAACTTCATTAAATCGTATGCATGGATTGGGTAGGCCTATATTTTACTTCAGTGAAGTTCATTTGTTTTGACTGCGCGCCAGAGTGTAAGGGTTGCGAATCCGAAGTGTGTGTCACTATTTTACAGGCACTATATATGGATATAGAAGAAAGTATTGCGCTTTGTAAAGATGTTAGGGTAGATTTATTTAATCTTGATGCGGGAAAGGCTAGATCAGTTGCAACTCGAGGTGTCATAGCGTCTGATTTTGATGACGTCACAAAAGTTGATGACATCACAAAAACTACGGATGCTTTGTGAATATGGTCGATCATTTTGGTGTTTTCAATTTCCAAAAAAGATGGAAAATAAAGATTTTAATGGTTATATTTTCATTAAACAATCAACAAAATAACCCTGTGGATGAGAAGAGTGGGTGATTATGTTTATGCATGAATGATTCAAGTCAAGTCAAACCATAGGCCTGTATTTTTAACTCAGCTTGAAGGAAGTAAGTGTACCTACTTTTATCAATACCTCCACGCACGCAGTGAATTAATGAAAGGTATTTTGTTTAATGTGTAGGATACCAGGCCAACAAGACTTTATGAAGTCAAAAACGCCTGAAAAGCCATGGAATCTTTAAAACACTGTTGGATATTGTACAAAATGTAAACATGAACATGCGCTATGCTAAAAATAACCCGGCCTGCTTCAGTCGCAGTAAAACACACACACAAATATTATTATAATCAACAGGCATAATTGCAACCTTCATAACTTAAGCTGTTCATCATTATTGTTGCAATCACCAATGTTATTTCTGTTATTCGCATTAATTACTGCCATTTTTAGGATTACAGTATGACATAAAATGTTGATTAGATTGTCAATTACGTCATCATAACTATTATTGTTATTATCGAAGTTATCACTTGTAGCTTTCGTAATATCGTTATCTTTTAATTTTATTTTTGTTTTCATTACAGTTTCTTCATTACCACCGTTATATTCATTATCGTGTTTATACTGTGTGCTTTATGGATTGCAGTTATTATTTAAAGTATTGTTCTTTTTCACTTTAACCTTAACGAATCGAAGGCGGTTTTCATAAAGATATAGTAAAAGCAGAGAGGGAAAAATTAGGAAATCGTTACGTTGATCTAAAATATCCTTTTTTATTCTTGCATTACGACAAAGCGAAACAAACAAACGAACAGACAAAGAGCAGAATACAAAAATGAAGAAATATCTCCAGGTAAAAAGGAGTTGTGAGATACAGTTATACACATATAATATACAGTTTAATAAATTCACAAGCAAAGGAAAAAGCAGTTGCGTAGAACCGGCTGGCGTCGCGTCGTCCTGGGAGTGAGGGCCTCTATTCGGAACCCGATGTTGAAGCGGAAGACGAAGTGGAATTCTTCATCCATTTTCAGATATTGGCGCTAAAACCCGCTCCATATTTGAGACCAGCCGTCCTTGCCCTTCTCCTTACTCTCAGACACACACATACGCAATCAAAGGCATGTATGTATGTGGGTGTATCTGGTGTTCGTATCTTGAGTATTGAGACAGCCTTAGTTTTCCAAAAGGTAACCTGAAAACAAATTGTATAAGAAACGTTGTCTCTTGAACTGTATATTGTCAAAGTAATCAGCTAAATCAGACCTATTTGCGCATTTTATTACAAAGACCGATCAGCTCCATGAGACACTGTAACCCCTCTCACCATGGCGCTGGGTGGCTTCCTTCAGGACCCTCTCCATTTCCGCGCAGGCGGTTTTCCTCATGTCCCTTTCCGAGCGGAGTTGCGCGTTCTGAGCCGTAACGTCGGCCAGGTCTTGCTGCACCTGCTGTTCCATCTCCTTGCGCTTTTCCCTGTAAAGCCAGCCCTTGACTGCGCGAAGCCTCTTTTCCTCGGCTTCAGTACTAGCTTGCGGGGGAAGTTCATGCCACTTGGTGGTCTTACTCTTGCGAGAGGAGGACGACCTCTGGCGACACGGCGGCCCTTGGTCGGCTGTTGGAGAAAAGTTCGATGCTTGAGAGAAGTCAAGTGACTGCGAGAACCCACGAACTTGAGAGGAATCGATTGCTTGGGTAAAATCAGGTGCTTCAGAGAAATCGGCTTCTTGGGAAATATGGAACAGCTCAGGAGTGGTTCCGGAAGCCTGACTCCCCTGGTACCAGAGGGAGGCGTCTTGAGGCGAGGCATATGTGGCGCCGCTTTGGTATTGCTCGGAAAGGTATCTGTCGTTAGGAAAATAACCAACGGGTGTAAACTGCTGCTCTCCACTCAACCCACTTGTGCTCGGGTACCCACACTCCTCCATGAACGATCCGTGACTGTAGTGTCCGCTGAAGAGAGACATGGCTAGCGTCAGCAGGCTACTTGAGTGACTGTCGATCCAAGCGAGGGTCTCTGGTATTTATACGCACGGGCAGACTGCATTTTCCTTGTAGGCAATGCCACCTTGAGTCATCATTAAGGAAAATTAAATGCGAAAAGAAAAGTTTTATTATATGTATAATGCCAAGAAACGAGTTATGTTATGGTGCTGGTGGGTTACATATTTAAGGGCATTTAAAACGCACAATTTCTCCCCCAAAGGAAAATTATAGAAAATAATATCGGGTCTTGTATTCAAAGGTGTGGGCACACATACACACATGAACACACATACGCACGCATGTATACATATACATATATATACAAATATATATGTACGTATGACATATATATCTATCTCTCTCTCTCTCTCTCTCTCTCTCTCTATATATATATCTATATATATATATATATACATACATATATGCATATGATATATACATTTATGTATATACATATATGTATATATGGATACCTATATACATATACGCATACATATACATACATACATACATTCGTGCACACACACACACACACACACACACACACACACACACACACACACACACACACACACACACACACACACACACACACACACACACACACACACACACAAATATATATACATATAAGCATTTTAAATTAAAGGCACATAAAACTGTCTCCAAAGATGCATTTACACAATGTGCAGTACATACTCGCAATGCATCTTAATCTCTCCCATTACAAAAAGATATCATTATGAAGAAATTATCATGATTTATCCTTTTTTACTGATGACTCGCAAGATGTTTCTGATCTTTCCTTTTTTGTGTAAGAATTATTATGACATTTTGTCATAATAATTTTTTGGGCGAAATAACGTGTTATCTATCTATCATACAAATTCAATATGATATGAACATCTTTATCTATAATGGTACCAGAGGGAGGCGTCTTGAGGCGAGGCATATGTGGCGCCGCTTTGGTATTGCTCGAAGGGTATCTGTCGTTAGGAAAATAACCAACGGGTGTAAACTGCTGCTCTCCACTCAACCACTTGTGCTCGGGTACCCACACTCCTCCATGAACACACACACACACACACACACACACACACACACACACACACACACACACACACACACACACACACACACACATATATATATATATATATATATATATATATATATATATATATATATATATATATATATGTATATATGTATGTATGTATGTATATATACACACATATGCATAAACACACACACACACACACACACACACACACACACACACACACACACACACACACACACACACACACACACACACACATATATATATATATATATATATATATGTGTGTGTGTGTGTGTGTGTGTGTGTGTGTGTGTGTGTGTGTGTGTGTGTGTGTGTGTGTGTGTGTGTGTGTGTGTGTGTGTGTGTGTGTGTGTGTGTGTGTGTGTGTGTGTGTGTGTGTGTGTGTGTGTGTGTGTGTGTGTGTTTGTGTTGTGTTGTGTGTGTGTGTGTGTGTTGTGTGTACATAAATATATATATATATATATATATATATATATATATATAATATATATATATATATATATATATATAATATATATATAAGATTACTATGTTTATTTTTCGTTGAGTAAAAAGTTCACAATAATTTTGCCGCACCTAATCGTGTTTTCCTGGAATAGAATTTCATATATAGTTATTATGTCAATAAAGGTTTGATTGGCATACTTCATATAATGCATACTTATTGCAATTGTATATATGTATAATTATAACATATTTCATTAGTATAACTTATTATCATTTAACTGTTTACATTGACGTTTATTTAATCTATGGCACACATGGCCTGCTATACATGAAATGGTATTCCAACCTCCTCTTTGTACAATAGTTTTATTATCTATTGCATTTCTGCTCTGACATAGAAGGGTTTAAAGGTTGGTCTTTATAATTTCTAGAATAATCATGGGTCTACCTTTTCATGGGGATTAATTGTTAAAAAATACTGATAAGT